ACACACACACACACACACACACACACACACACACACAGCCTCTGTAGCACTGGAGTGTGGATGCCTTATGCTAGCACACTGGTTATCTAATCAATGAGCTTTAATGACAGTACAAACTCTGGTTCTCTAATCAATGCATTTTAATGACATCACTAGCCAGCATCAGTGTTCTAGAATAAGACATGTTAAGCGTAAGCTATAGCACCACACACGCGCACACACACACACGCGCACACACACACACGCGCACACACACACGCGCACACACTGAAGCCTCTGAAGCACTGGAGTGTGCATGCCTGGCTCCAACTGTCTGCTCACAACTGTCACAGTCTCTCTCACCTGTTTCTCAAAGATGCTGTCAAAATGACCACAGGCACACACGGGGTAGAGAGTACGAAGACTGCAGCATCTTAAACCAGATCCCTGGCCACTAAGATAGTGTAGTAAATAATCATTTGCACAGTGTGGAGCTTCTTCATGAGTTTTTTAATAATCAGGCATGCAATGAAAAGGAATTTATGGCTGCTGACAAATGTCCAACAGATATATGACGTTTACAAATCTGCCTTTTTAAACATACCATAAGCAGATTTTCTAATAAACCATGAAAGAGAATGACTGACGCCACAGTTGCATGTAACGCTACATGGAGACAAAACGAGAAATCAAGAGTCTCAATCTGAACTATGTGTGATGCAAAAGCAGACGCCACAACCTGCTTCCTATAATAAGCCACGATACCAGCAGCAATCAGTATCACACACTCACTGCAAACAAACCCGAGGAATATTTGTCTGTTCGTTGTTAGTCTCCCATTAAGAGCATCAGACAACTGTTCTGTGCATATTTGGAACAGAATCTAATCTTCCATTATTCCAATATGAATAAATAATTAGACAAATAATTATGTCAAATATTACTCACTTCCATCCTCTGTGTGTTAGAAATTGGGAAAGAATTGGTGCATAGATCAGCTGCGCACAGTCCAGCTGGATTTATGTCTGTTGTTTATGGTTGTATTCACCTGCTTATCCAGCGTTTCTTCTGAAATGAAGGGTATTAATCGGGAGTTTGTCCCCCTTTGCTGCAGTAGCAGCCTCTATTTTTCTAGGAAGGCTTTACTCTAGATGTTGGAACATTGCTGTTTGGGGATTTGACTGCATTAAGCTACGAGAGCATTAGTGAGGTCAGGTACTGATGGTGGATTAGCTCTGGATCTCTCCAACTCATCCCAAAGGTACTGGATGGAGCTCCATCACTCCAGAGAACACAGTTCCACAGCTCAACAGCTCAACAGCTCAGTGCTGGGGGGCTTTATACCCCTCTAGCCGATGCTTAGCATTGGGCATGGTGACCTTAGGCTCATGTGCAGCTGCTCCAGAGCATCACATTATTTTGGCAACATCTTTCTGTGGACATTATACACCAATCAGCCACAACATTAAAACCTACAGTTACAGACTGTAGTCCATCTGTTTCTCTGCATACTTTGTTAGCCCCCTTTTACCCTGTTCTTCAGTGGTCAGGACCCCCATGGACCCCCACAGAGCAGGTATTATTTGGGTGGTGGATCATTCTCAGCACTGACATGGTGTTGGTGTGTTAGTATGTGTGTTGCACTGGTACGAGTGGATCAGACACAGCAGTGCTGCTGGAGTTTTTAAACACCTCAGTGTCACTGGTGGACTGAGAACAGTCCACCAACCAAAAGTATCCAGCCAACAGAGTCCTGTGACCACTGATGAATGACTTGAGCATGACCAACACAAACTGTGCAGCAGCAGATGCGCTGTCGCCTCTGACTTCACATCTACAAGGTGGACCAACAAGGTAGGTGTGTCTAATAGAGTGGACAGTGAGTGGACACAGTGTTTAAAAGCTCCAGCAGCACTGCTGCGTCTGATCCACTCGTACCAGCACAACACACACTAACACACCACCACCACGTCAGTGTTACTGCAGTGCTGAGAATGATCCACCACCCAGATAATACCTGCTCTGTGGTGGTCCTGTGGGGGTCCTCACCACTGAAGAACAGGGTAAAAGGGGGCAACAAAGTATGCAGAGAAACAGATGGACTACAGTCTGTAACTGTAGAACTACAAAGTGCAGCTATATGGTCAGTGGAGCTGACAAAATGGACAATGATAGTAGGAGGTGGTTTTACTGTTATTGCTTATTGGTGCACAATTAAAAGCCCATGTCAGCAATGAGTGCCCTCTAAAGTAGTCGTATTCACTAATTAGTAGGGGTGCTGGGACACTTTTGGACACAGACGCTGCGTTCGGAACGGTTTGCTTGTTAACAACCCACTACATATTGTTTGATATATAGTGAACTGACCGGAGAATGACCACGGAACGACCGAAATATTTATCATTGAGGATTCGGACAGCTCTACGACATGGCTGAAACACTAACAGAAGTCTTCAAATCTGGACCTTGAATCCAGTTCTTTATTTTGTAGTCACTGGCAGTTAACTGATCTGTTGATGTAAATGACCGGCCACTATTGCCATACCTTCCAGTGACTGGAAAATCCAGGAGGGGAAAAACTGGATTCAAGGTCGTGATTTGAAGACACAAGCTGTGTCCAAAACTCGGCCTCACTCACTACATAGTGCTTTATTTTGGGGTTCTGCCATTTTGTAGCGATATCTGAAAACATAGTGCAGAAGGGCATCGCAATAAGTAGCGTACAATCAATGTACCCTAGGGGATACCCATAATGCACTGTGCTGTTTGGCTTGAAGATTCATGCGCAACTTCTCTGAGTAGGATAGGCAAGTCCAGCTACAATAGCAGCGTCTCCACAGAGCTCCCTTCAGGCCAGTTACAGATGTAAGTAAGCTCTTCTCATGTGTCAAACTCAGCGGTTATAGTGGACTGGGGGCAGGACGTTTATAGTGTTTATGAATCTGCTGTCGCACAGTAAGGAGCAAACCTGTATGACATAGTGTCCAAAAACATTTACTACCATCACAAATTCCGCTCTCTATAATAGTGCTTTATATAATGATCCAGATTTTTAAATGTAGGATACAGTGATTAGGGGACCATTTCATGGCAGTTATAAACCACTGAAGCCAACGTCATTCATGTTGAGCAGTGTAGCCTGAGTGCAGGTCAGCTTGTAGGGCTACCACACTGGCAGCGTTCTGGTCAGTGCGTCAATTCAGCGCGCAGCAGCATTAGCTTACGTGCAGCAATATTCATATTTTTACTGTTTAACAAACTGGTAATTCAGACGGCGCAAGTCCTGCTAGTGACATCCCACATGAATAAAAATAATGCGTGGCCACAACTTAGTAAGGTGTGAGAACGAGATAATTATGTCTTGACCAAAGCTTAATAAGAGCTCGTTCCCATGCCTTACTAAGTTGTGGTCGTGACTTAATTATCTTGTTCCCACGCCTTACTAAGTCATGGCCACACATTAAGATCTTGTTCCCACGCCTTACTAAGTCGTGGCTGCGACTTAATTATCTTGTTCCCATGCCTCACCAAGTTGTGGTCGTGACTTAATTATCTTGTTCCCATGCCTTACTAAGTCATGGCTGTGACTTAATTATTTTGTTCCCACGCCTTACTAAGTCATGGTCATGCATTAGGATCTCATTCCCGTGCCTTACTAAGTGGTGGCTACAACTTAATTATCTTGTTCCCATGCCTTACTAAGTTGTGGCCATGCATTAGGATCGTGTGCCCATGGCTTATTAAGTCGTGGCTGTGACTTAATTATCTTGTTCCCATGCCTTACTAAGATGTGGCCACACATTACGATCTTGTTCCCACGCCTTACTAAGTCATGGCTGCGACTTAATTATCTTGTTCCCATGTCTTACTAAGTCATGGCCACGCATTAGGATCTTGTTCCCACATGTTAATACAGCATGGCCACGCATTATTTTTATCTATGCGTGAAGTCACCAGCAGGGCTTCGTAGGAAAAAATATTCATAGGACAAAACGTATCGAAACATCCCTAAATCTGAGTCATTTTGATTATGTCAGGATGCGACAGAGACAGTTATCATAAGCTCCACTCATTTTTCTCATAGAAAAAAAATCCATGTAGGCCTGGAGCTCCTTAAACAGGCAGAGGAGCAGGTACAGAATGACGACACGACTTCAGTTCACAGGTTACTGAGTGACTCGATTTCTCCACACAACTGTTACCTAACAAACACATTTTCCCTCATTTATTTTAGTATTTAAAAAAAGGCACCATTCAAACACCCGCATACACTATAGCTGCATTCAGAATCGCTGCCTGTAGAAATGGTGCACTTCATTATAGTTAGTTATACAGCTGTATAGAAAAATAGAATAAATTAGTGAATAAATAAATTCAAGAGTGATTTAAATAAATAAATAAATAAATAAATAAACCCAGCAGCCTCCACTTGAAACCAAGACCAGTTTGAGTCACTTGGTAACCCTCGAACTGTTGCTGTGACGTAACCGTGTACCCCGCCCACTCGCGTAGCCCCGCCTCCCTCCAGCGCGCGGAGAGCCTCTGCTCGTCTCTGAGAATCATCATCTGAGAAAAAGCCACTTTAACCGCCTCCTCGCGTTAACTTTCCGTCTTTTTCCTTCAGACTGACGCATTTTATATCAAATAAAAGCTGAAGCTTGACTGATTCACGTGGCTAGCAGCCATTGCTGCAGCCAAAATCACATAATCACCACTAAACCAAGACTGGACGTGTGAATTTAACACCTGTTCGATTAGCAGCCTCACCAGAGCAACATTAAGGCGGATTTAACAAACAAACAGGCGAAACATTTCAAACGAAAGGCTGTATTTTAGCCTATTCGCTCTCTCTGCTCCCCTCACTGTCTCCTTCTGTTGTCGCTGAGTTTAATAGTGTCTGAACGTGAAGGAGTTGTAGCTTTCAGTGCTAACCAGAAATAAGCGGCAACCCCAGTTTGGCGTAACTCTGACCCTCACAGCTGTACAGGTGTAGCCCCCAAACCCACCACCTGCCCGCCTACCTTTCATCCAGTCCACCACCTGGCTGGGACTCCATTTGCTAACAGGTTCCATGACGAGGGCCATGGGGAAAGAAAGTTTCTGCACTTCTCTTCTCAGCGCTGAGGTGGAGGGGAATGGATGGATGGATGAGGGGGATCAAAAAAGCCTCCCCCCGTCTGTCCAGTCACGCTCGGCTGGAGGCTCGGGCGCTTCTTACGCGCTCTGCCGCCGGCTGCGCCCCGCGGGGCTGGGTCTCATGGTCTCCAGCGCGTCGGTGTCATTCACGGCGGCTTTGCGGTTCCTATCAGGAGCGCCCGTTCACCCGCTGTTCATCCCCGGTTCTCCGCGGTCCTCCCCCTCCTCCTACTGCGGGCACCAAAACCGGCGTCTCCTGTGTTTTTTCCCAGTGAGCACTGCGCCGTTCACTCGTCCCCTCTCTCTCTCTCTCTTTCTCTTGCTCTCTCTCGTCGACTTTTCTCTGATTTTGCGCTGCTGCTGCTCCACCGTCTACAGCCCCGCTCTGCCTCTGCCGTTCCCTCCTCCGTCCGCGGTGAGAGCGCGTGGAGCCCTGCCAGAAACCTAAGGCGCCCACTAGCGGTGAGAAAGGGGAACAGCAACAAACTAAAGGCTGACGGCCACCGCGCGCGCGCTTCGCTCCCGTGGGCGGCGGTGCTGCAAAGTGAATTTGACTCAGTGCTTGATTATTTCCCGCGAGGATAACGGGCGCAGTCCCAGCGTCGCTTTTAATGAGGGCAGGAAGGCGGAGCTGCTTTACAGCAAAAAAAGAGGACTGAACACTGTAATGGAATTAAGATGGGGCTCCAACGGCGAGGAGTGAGACGCGTTTACTGACGAGTGTTTTCTCCAAAGACTGAGAGTGTATGACAGCATTCTTTAGATTGAAGAGAGATGGAGGGATTAGAAGATAGAGGGAGGGGGTGAGCGAAGGAAAGGGAGGAAAGAGAGCGAGAGGAAAGTAGGGGAGAACGAGAGGAGAGGGTAGGGGGGAAAAAAGAGGGGGAGAGGGAGGAATAGATGGGAAGAAAGCAAAAAGAGAAAGAAAGAGAAAAGGGGAGGGGAGTCATTACGTATTTGCTTAACAGATAAGAGTGACAGGGAAGAAGAGAAAGGGAGAGTCGAAGAGAGACGGAAAGAGAAAGAGAGAGTGGGAGAGAAAAAAGAGGGAGAATGAGGAGACTGAGTGAAGAGAGAGAGAATGACAAAAGGAGCGAAAAAGGGAAAGAGGGAGAATTGGGGAGAAAGATAGCGATAAGGGAAAGAAAGAGAAAAAAGGAGGGGAGTCATTGAGTGTTCACTTAACAGACAAGAGCAACAGAGAGAAAGGGAAGAGAGAGAGAAGGAGAGAGTCGGAGAGAAAGAGTGAATGAGAAACAGGGAGAAAAAAGAGAAAGAGGGAGAATGAGAATAAAGGGAGAAGAAAGAGGGAGAGAGAGAAGAGATAAAAAAGAAGGAAAGAGGTAGGGAGAAAAAGTGAGGAGAAGATAGAGATAAGGGAAAGAAAGAGAAAAAGGGAGAGTCAGAGAGAGAGGGAAGGAGAAAGAAGGAGAAAAAAGACAAAGGGAGAATGAGAAAAGAGGGTGAAAAGGAGGGAGGAAAGAAGGAGAAAGAAAAGAGGGAAGAGGGTAGGAACACAAAGTGAGGAGAAGATAGAGATAAGGGAAAGAAAGAGAAAACGAGCAACAGAGGGAAAGGGACGAAAGGGAGAGTCGGATAGAGAAGGAGCGAGAAAGAAGGAGAGTGGGAGAGAATAGATAGAGGGAGAATAAGAAAAAAGGAGCGAAAAGGGGGAAAAAAGAGGGAGAGAGAAAAGGGGAGGAAGAGGTAGAGTAAGAGATGAGAGAAAGATAAAGAGAAAAAGGAAGGGGGGGTCAGTAAGTGTTCATTTCACCTTTTGGAGAGCCTGAATTTGGGGCTGAGATCCATCATCAGACGTAAAGTCAGACCCTTTTAGCTCGTTCCTCATTTTCATGCTGGAACTGAATGCATCTGTTACGCAATCAGAGCGAAATGGGCCTGTTACAAACGAAAGAGTGCTCATCACTTCCCATCAGGCCCGATACGGTGTCAGTCACAGCACGGTTATGAGCCGCCACGATTCACAAGCTCTTCATCAAGTCCATCATCAGCAGCCCTCGTTCTGGTCGCCTGGGCAACTCCCAGCCAACTCCTCCTATACTGCAGGCCCAGAGCAGATGGAGGCAGGAGACTGGAGCCAGACCCGCATGGGCCCAGATTGGGCCTCAGTATGTCAACATGAATCATACAAGAGCACCCGAGCAGCACTCAGTACTACGACAACACGGCATGCTCCCCTTAAACTACGCTGCTGTCCTACAGAGCGGAGAGCCAGCTTGCCACCTGCTGGCCACCTGGAGGCACAAATCAATTACACACCAACCTAAATTTCTCTTTCTCAGGAGGGGTGCCTGGCAGCGGAGAGGATGCATGTTTGTCCTTTATGGAAGGTTGTGGCTTGTAGACTAGAATTGCCTTACAAATATATATAATCAAGAAAGAGTAGCTTCAAGTCATGTTCAGAATACACCATACAGGCCCAAAGGTTTTCATACAACAGTTCTACCAAGATCAAAGGTATTAATAAGAGAGCTGGTACTCCATTTGGGCCCAATCCCATTTCTTATTTTTACCCCTACCCCTTGTTTTCGAGCGTCACCTTGACCCTCAGAACTGAGTTACAAGGGGTAGTGGTTGAGGTCTTCCCTACAAAATGGGACCCTCAAATAAAAGAACATTACTTCATTAACAGCTACTAGCGTTGCTCTGTAGGCGACCCTGCCGGCCTGCAGTGATAGCAGAGGAGGGTAAAGTTCAGCAACCTCACTGCTGGGCTTTAGTTACATTTAGGGCATCATATACTTTTAAAGAGAGGGGATGAGACAGTTATTTATTATCTCCCACCTCTAATTCTTCATAGGGAAGATTTCAACCACTGCCCCTTGTAACTCAGTTCTGAGGGGCAAGGTGACACTCAAAAACTAGGGGTAGGGGTAAAAATAAGAAGTGGGATTGGGCCTTAGTGTGTGTTCTAGATAACCTTTGCTTTTTTGTTATTTACTGTACATTCTTTAACATCTTCTGCACATTTCTAGATCTGCTCCACTGCTTTTTTCAGCATTAAAGAGCGCCTGCCCCTCTGCGCACTCTGAGAGACGTGGAACGGTGAGAAAGGCTCAGCAGGGTGCTTCAGTCTCGGCCTGCGAGAGCAGAAATAGGCTTCAGCTTCTTTCGGCCCTGTACTGCACGAACAGCGCGATAAACAAACGCCCCCACACCGAGTTGGGGGGTTTAATCTGCGCAGGGCGAGAGTGAGGTGTGCTGCGTGCTGCTGTGCTGCATTTGAGTGGGAGGACAGCACATTTTCATATCCTGACAGAAGAGATGCCAGTGTCGCGTTTAATCCCCCCAAAAGAAAGGAAAAGAAAAACACACACTCTGTTCTGGATTTGCAGAGAAGCAGGGCTGTTTTTGACAGGTCGAGTGGGTGGGTGGTAGTGTTGTTAGTGTGTGTGTGTGTGTGTGTGTGTGTGTGTGTGCATGTGTGCAGCAGTGCAGCAGTGATATTGGTAGTGGTAAAAGTGATGAGGGTTAACCTCTTAAACACTAAGGACCTTTTAGTGTTTCTCACTCTCATAACTATATGTTATGCATAGTTATTGAATAACGTTGACTCAATACTGGAGAATAAGCCTTGGGGGCAGTCGTGGGTTGGAGATTAAGGAACCAGCCTTATGACCGGAAGGTCGCTGGTTCGATCCCCTGAGCTGACATGTCATGACTGAAGTGCCCTTGAGCAAGACACCTAACCCCTAACTGCTCTGTGGGTGCTGTGGATAGGGCTGCTCACTGCCCCCTAGTGTGTGTCTGTGTGCTCACTAGTGTGTATGTGGTATTTCACTGCACAGATGGGTTAAATGCAGAGGTGAAATTTCCCCGTTGTGGGACCAATAAGGGTCACTTAACATTTAAAGGGCTCATATCCTACATTTTGGCTGCATTTTGTGAGTTCAGACCAGGCCTTCAACATGGTGGTGGTAGTATGAGGGAAGACTGATAGAGGTAGTGGGGAGAACTCTGAGAACTTGGGCTGGAGTTCTGTATAGCTTCTGCCTGCAGCTAGTAGGCCGGACCCCCCTCATCGCTATAGTAGGACTGATGTAGGAGTGAGGAACAGGGAGGAGATGGGGTGGCGGTGGGGATTGCGAACCCTTCATCACAGGAACGGGAGGTGAATTTATAGGGCGTTAGACTGGAAGAAGGAAGGGTTTCAGGCATGTTCCTCCCCAGAAATTCAACTGCATTAAATTTGTTCGTAAGGGCCACTTGCAACATTTGTGTGGATGTATGTACCAAAAAAACAGCCATTATTTGTTTGTCTGTACCACTTTTATCCCTTAAACAGGCTATTTTTGTTGCTATGCCTTTAATATGGAAATGTGTCAGTGACCTCTGCTCTGATTGGCTGCACTGGATTGTGCCAGGTTTATTAAGCAGTACTTTGTTGTGAATGGGCAGGGCTAAACTGCTTTAGGCTGAATAGATAAATATATGTGAATGCATTGTATTTTGTGACATCACAAAAATAACTAATTCCACACAGGCAGTTTAGTTTCCATATATGGACTGTAACAACATTTACATACTACATAAACGTCTTCATTTTAAAAAAATGTGAGGAAAACTTACTTTTTCATTAAAAGAACAGGTCTATCAAACATGCTAACATTGCTAACAGTAAGGGGAAGCTAGTATCTATTTTCATACTGCTAATTGATGGCTATTCACGTCCATTTATTGTAAGCAACGTTAGCTTTTTTACTTAGCTTCAAGATTAATACTGATAATATTAGATAGCTCATAGACAAAGCTCAGCTCAATATACATGTAATACAGAAGAACCAGACTGAAGGAAATCATGCATATTCTGCTTGGCTCCATGGGCCAGACAGGGCAGCGGTTGCAGGCAGAAGGTCCTGCACTCTAATAACCTCAGTCGTTGTTGCCCTTTTACATTTTAACTCCAGCTTTTTTCTTATTTGAGGTAAAATTACAGCCTGACCTGAAGAAGCCGGCACTACATCAATACTGAAGATCATGTTGTACCCAGCCCTAACATAGTTCCTTCCTGAAGAGCAGGATAGAACATTGTTGCAAATCA